AAATAAATAAATAAAAGTGGAGCCTCCTGATGGCGTCTAAATCTTGGACAGAATTATTCACACCTCTGCTGATAGAAATGTAATGTCAGATCAAATATGGTCCTCACTGTAAGACGGGCAGGCAGACTGATGATGCTGAAATTTGGCAGGAAATCAGCTCCAGATGGCTAATTTCTGTGTTTCCTTTCAGTAAAACAGGAAAGTTTCAGATGAGAAATCTGCAGTTTGTGCTTTTTGCCCTGAATTACATTCATTTGTGCAGCTCATACACATTAAACTGGCTGAAATAAACTGGAGTGACCCTTTAATCATGCACATTTCCACTCTGAACAAAAACCAAAAGGTCTGACTTTGATGTATCTCATTATTATATTTTGTCATCAGTTTAAATTCAGCTGCACTTTTCCTCCAAATGATTTGTGCTGGAAGCCGGACGGATCATTTCTGTGTTTGCTGCGTTTGTGTGCACGGCTGTCTTCAGACGTGTCGTCACGCTGACATCTGCTGTTATCGTTCGTGTTCGAGACGCAGATGGAGGCTGTGCGAGAGCCTCTTCCTGTCTCTGCAGAACTTGTTTGACACTTGTTGGCACGACAGCTTCGGTTTAAATTACAAACAATGGGAACATTGAAGTCCAACAGGCACTCGTTCTTCTCTTCTATCACTTCTTGTTGTCCTCCAACCCGCACGGCCTGCTGTCCTCACAGGAGACGAGGCTAACGGCGTGACACTCACGTGTCCTTCACCCCCTGCATCTTCTCCTTCATCATCCTTTGTCCGATATATCCACTCTCCCCCGTCTGCACATGTGCAAACCATCTCAGCCTCGCTCTTCTAACTTTAACTCCAAACCACAAAATAATCTAAACAGCAGCACGTGAGCGGTCCTAGGTTTTATGAGCCCCGCCCCCAAACCGTGTACGCCTAGCAACAGTCTCAAGCTTAGATAAATGAGGACGGTTGAATCAGGAAGGGCGTAAATCCATAATATCCAAATCAAACATGCAGATCATCAGCTGCACTGATAATGAAATAAACAAACCGAAAGTGGACCCCACAGTTTTGACTGTAAGAGCTGTAGCGGTGCTTTGGCGCACCCTGCTGGTGATATTTGGTCCACCATAAAGAACATAATATGGATCCAAAAAGGATGCTCTTCAATCTCAGAGTCTAAACAAGCAACAGGATGTGGAGGAGACGTCAGAGCTGGAGGTGGAGAGTTAAATGCCTGGGAAGAAGCTTCTCGGATGAGAGGTGGAACAAAGAAGTCC